GAGCTGGGATAGGGCAGGAAATCCCTGTGCCCAGTGTCCATCAGAGCTGGGATAGAGAGGAAATCCCTGTGCCCAGTGTCCATCAGAGCCGTGAGCTGGGGATATTTCAGGTCTGGGCAGAAGATTTCTGGGCTCTGGGATTTCACTGATAGGGCAGTCTTAGTTACATATGGGATATGGGATATGGATATGGGATGTGGGATATGAGATATGAGATACGGGATATGGGATATGGTCTCTGCCATTCACACCCCGTTGTGAAGATGGATCTCCCTGCTCCCCATCTTGGTTTGGGATCTGAACACTTCCAGAATGGGAAGGGGTGGAAGGTGAGAGCTGGCCTAGGAAGTGCTCCTGGAGGCTGAGCAGGGGCTCTGTGGCTCTGAGTGCTGTTTGATGGTGGCTCTTGTTGCAGTCTGAGGAAGATTTCCTGGAAAGGAGGAGGGAGGTGGAGCGGCTGCTGAGGAAGAACGCGGATTGGATCTGGGATTGGTCCAGCCGGCCCGAGAACATCCCCCCCAAGTGAGTGTGGCACAGCTGCTGGCTGAGCTCCTGCAGCTTCTCGTGCTCTGGGGTTAAACACCCAGCTCACATTGCTTCCCCAAATGCAGGGAATTCCTCTTCAAGCACCCCCGGCGCACAGCCACGCTCAGCATGAGGAACACCAGTGTCATGAAGAAAGGGGGGATATTCTCTGCRGAATTCCTCAAGGTTTTCCTGCCATCCCTGCTGCTCTCTCACCTGCTGGCCATTGGACTGGGGTAAGCTTCAACTGAACAGAAGRTGTAATTTTTTTACCTGCTGTCTTTGAGGCCTGACTCTGATTCCCAATTCCCTCTTTGTCCAAGAGAAGAGTAACTTTCCTCCATGAAGGGGGAGAGTTGTTTATTCAGGGAGCGCTTCCTGCCTGTGGTATTGCTGGATGGTTGAMGTTTTCTGGTTTTCTCACTAGTTGGGAATTTCTCAGAACAATTAAGGGGCAGGGAAATGAGGAATTCTGTACATTGGAACTGTAGTTACCCAACACTTGGCTCCACTGGAGACGAGACTCTTGATCTCACAACTAACTGCAAAGGGAAAAGCTAGTATTTCATAATTTTAAAATGCCACTGACATCCATTTTAAAATACTTAATATTATTTTAAATTATGTGGCATATTTTTAAATTCTCTCCTGGGGGGGATAGGGGGATGTGTGACTGTCTGAAAGAATTAGGGGGGTGGAAGTTTCCTTTCCAGCATCAGTGTGGGGGAGTGCCAGGTCCCGGAGCTGGTGCCAGGGCAGGGCGGTCACTGGGCTGGCACTGGGCTGGCACTGGGCTCTGGGGCAGATGTGCTGCTGTTCTAGCAGTGCAGGGGCAGTGCCCCATAGGGAGGGTGTTCCTGCTCCCTGCTCTTGGGCTGAGCTGTGCTCCTGCCCCGCAGCATTTACATCGGGAGGCGCCTGACCACCACGGCTTCCAGCAGCACCTTTTAGAGGCACCTCGGGTGGATTGGAGCGGAGCAGCCTCAGCTGGAGCGCGGGAGGTGCAGAGGAGGGGGAGCTGGTCGTGTGTGTGTCCTGTCCGTGTCTGTTTTAGTTTAGTCTAACGATGGGAGGGAGACGCTGGAGCTCCCGTGTCACATAGAGCCTTCTGGATCAATCCCTGCTGGATCCATCCCTAGAGCACGTGGCAGATGCTGCAATGTCCCTTAGTGCTTTGTAGTGAAGTACCTGACAATTAGAGCAACTCCGTGTTTGAGTCCATGC